AGGATGGACCCTACCCTGCCGGGGTCTTTAGATGCTTCCTCCGTGCCCCATCCTCTGTGCTGCCCCTCTGCAGCCCTCCCCAGACCAATAGCCAAGGGAGGCTGCCCTGTTTCCTCTTTGCAGGGCCCTGTCCATCCAACCTTACCACGGTGCACAGGCGATCTCTGGCCTGCTTACAGGGCCTGGGCACTGCTGGCGGCAAGTGGTTGCTCACTGGTTACTCCAAGTAGGGTTTGCAGGTCATCCTGCCCCGCCCAAGATGTAGTTTCAGCAGCTCTGAAAAACACACACCGGTGCTCATGCCTCTTCCTCTCTCCTTCCCTCCTCAAGCTCCTAGAAGATGACTTCCAGTTCGTCCTTTGCGAGGGCTGCCAGCAGGAATCGCCCAACCTCAAGCTCCTCACCTGCCTCCACACCTTGTGCCTCAGTTGCCTGAACAAAAACAAGGCCATTGGGCAGTGCCCCTTGTGCTGGACGGCCATCCCACACTCCAACATCATCCCTGACACAGACAACCTGCTCTTCGCCAACCTGCAGGCCAGGCTCAGCATCTACAAGAAGATTGTTGATGGAGGTGACTTGTTCTGTGACAACTGCAAGAAAGCCGGCGACTTCTGGTGCTCTGAATGCAAGGAGTTCCTCTGCACCAGCTGCTTCGAGGCCCACCAGCGCTACCTGAAGAGGGAGAGCCATGAAGCCAAGAAGGTGATGGACATCAGGGCAGGGTCTGCTAAGGACTTCCTCGAGGGCACCAGGAGGACTGGTAACTTGTTCTGCTCCAACCCGAACCACAAGAGCCAGGCTGTAAGGTAGGTCTAAGAAGGTCTGCCCCCATCTGGCTGGTTTCTTGTCACAAATCTCTTTGGGATAGTCCATGATGGGACTAAGCAGGGTGTCCCTGTCTCTCTGCTGCCCTGATTGCCACCCTGTGATGGAGAAGATGGGTGGGAAGTAGTGACCGGTGGACTCTAGGGCATGGAGGGAGGGTTTGGATGAAGCCAGGTTCGAGCTGACGATGGGAGAGTGTGGACAGGGTAGACTGAGGGAGGAGAGTGTGTGGGGTGCTCCTTGCTAGAGTAAAGAGGGTGAGGTTGATGGAGCTCAGCAAGATGAAGGCCGGTTGCTTCAGCTGCCGTGATGGACAGCAGAGAAGGGTGTGTTTTGCTGATGGTGATAGACCAGCTTGGAGAGGATTTGGGGAATAGCATGGGTGCAATGCAGGACAAGGTTTAAGTGCCCCCAAGGGAAAGTCCAAGCGAGAGGGGAAGGGGCTGGAGCATCCATGGAGGCCAGCACTGATGCTAGCCACAGTGGCCCAGATGTCTCAGTATGTCCCTAGCCCACCACTTGCCAAGGCTACCAGGACTTATATGAGGGATTAATGATGATCTCCACTCCCCACTTCTTATATTCTTGCCTTAGGCATCTTACGGAGATAAGATATTCTTTGGTATTACATTCTTATACATAACCCCAGTAAATACTCATGGAAGGGTAGAGAGTTCATTTCTTCATTGCCCTTGCAGTGCGTGGATGAACGTTTACTGTAACGCTTGCACAGTCACCACAGTGACTTTAGCCAGCCCAGCAGATAGTGAACCAACATTTTTTTTTTTGCAGTTGGGAGAGTATAAAACCAGTGCCTGGCCCAAACTTGGTGGTAACTTAAATTCAATGAATGAATGAGTTTGCAATTTGATAAATGAATGAATTGCAGAGTGCATGGTCTAAATTGCTGCTCTGCTTGTGCTTGGCCTCACAGCATCTACTGCAAGAAGTGCGAGAAGCCTGTGTGCTGCATCTGTGCGCTGCTGGACAGCCAGCATGCCCCCTTCTGCGACATCCGCAGCGAGACCCAGCGCAGGCAGGAGGAGCTGGGCACATTGAGCCAGGAGCTGAAGCAGAAGAGAAGTGGCTTCGAGGCCACCTACATGGCACTGCAGGATGAGGCCGCTCAGCTGGAGCAGGCACAGCAGGAGATGCGGGAGCAGATCCAGCAGCGCGTGGAGCAGCTGGTGCGGCTGATCCGGCAGGAGGAAGAGGAGCTGCTGGGACTGGTGGAGGTGCGGCAGGAGCAGGGCCGGCAGGAGCTGGCGAGAGAGCTGCGGCGCGTGGAGGGGTTGACGCGGTGGATGTAGGCGGGCGAGCGGCTGGTGGAGAAGATGAGCCTCTACGCCACGGACCAGGAGGTGATGGATATGCAGCCCTTCATCAAGGACTCTCTGAAGGAACTGAAGCGGCTGAAGCTGCCAGCAGCTGGGGACCGAGCACAGCCTGGGGACTTGGCTGAGTGCAGAGCCAGGCTGCAGACACTGGTGGAGCGTGTCATGGGGCACCCAGGTGAGGACTTGGCCAGGCGGGCTGGGGAGGGCGGGACCGAAGCAGAGTTGAGGGTTATAATCCCTGGTTAGACCATATTATCCATGGGTTTCAAATCTCCTTCCACATGGTGGGCACACTCCAACCTCTGCCAAGGATGGGATGGGATGCAGTTGTTGCATCCATCACTTCCAAAGCAATGCTTGTCTCTTGCCCTTGCGGAGTACAGTGGTCCCCCAAACGCAGTTAGAACTGAGGGAACATGGCAAATCGCTTGGGATGGAGCCATGCCATGGGCTGAAGGATAGGGAGGTGAGTGGCACCTGGAGATGGGATGCATGGAGCAGGAGCTTGCAGAAGCTGGTGTTGGCAAGGAGGAAGCAGGTAGAAGCGTTGGATCAACTCTGCATCCTCTCTGAGAAATGTTTGTGCTGATGACATGCACAGGTCCCTCAGGGGTCATAACCATCCTCTGGGCCTTAGTGTCCTGCTGCCCACTGACCACTTGTGCTCCTCAGATCTCCAGCCAGTTTGCCTTTGCTCAACCTTCATCCACAACCATCTGAGGCAATTCCCTTTTTGGGTTGTTGATTACTGCCTTGGGATGGTGTATCCAACAAGAAAGGCAAAATGTTCCCCGGGAGCACTGCCTGACAGGGATGGCAAGAGGTCCACAACCGCTGCTGGGTTTTCCCAGGTCTTCCCCCATCTCTTCAGCAGCAGTGCTGTGGCAGAGATGCTGCTGGTTTGGAAATGGTGACGGCCTTGGCATCTGTGGTGTGTGCAAGGGTGGTGTACTGGGGAATCCAGATTTGGTCAGAAGGTGGTAGCATCCTTCCAGAAAAGGGGGCGGGGGGAAGCAATGGGAGGAAGACTGCGGGGTCTTCTGCTCCATCCCCCTGCTGCTGTCTTCAGACCTGGGTTTATAACCAGTGTCCTCCTTGTCCCTCTGTGGGCATCCACCACTGAGCTCCCCAGGGTGAGCTTATGGGCTGTGGATGATCCATAGAAGAGCCCAGGGGTGATGTCCTGGATGGAGCTTGGGGTTTCCTGGGAACAAGCTGCCTCCCACCCAACTCCTTGCGTCTCCATCACATGGTAGGCATCATCCCTCCGTCTCCCCTCTCCACCCCACCAAGGCAGGCTGGGAGGACCCTTTCAGCCCTGATTCTCCCCTCCTGCTCCCTTCAGCCTTCCTCCCCACGACAGGTACCTCCACTCCCCAGCACGACGCCCTGTCTGAAGACAAGACCACCCTGATCCTCGACCTCGAGCCTCCCGGGGAGCATTGCCAACCACATGGAGGTGTCCCCGCAGGGCTGCCTGCCTACCACCAGCCCTGTGCCCCTATGTCAGACCCCTCCAGCGGCAGAGGACATGTGTGTCCAGACCAGGGAGGCGCTATGTCCACCACCCAACCCACACCTCCAGCCCTTCTGATGCAGAGGGATGAAGAAGCAGAGGAAGACTCAGAGTCAGCCCATGGGGACACTGTGCCTCCTTCCAGGAGCATCCAGGACTCTTTGGCCTCTCTGCAGGAAGATTTCAGTGGCTGGGCCAGGTCCAACGTGCAGCAGGTGGACAAGGTCCTGAAGATCAGCGATCGCCTCCTGCAAGCTCAGCACAGGGCAAACAGGCACCTGGCGTCTGTGACCCATGAGATCCAGGCCATGTCCTGCTCCCTGGCCACCATCGCCTCTGCTGTGGGACCCTTGCTGCAGCCTGTGGCCAGCCCACAGAACCCCCCCACTGCAGACATGGACTGGACATCGCTGCCTTCCAACTTGCTGGAGTTATTCTCTTCCAGCACCCCGCAGACGCAAGAACTGCTGGTCTCAGTGGCTGCCATGGCCCCTTCTTCCAGCAGACCCCCTCCTGCCACCACCTCTGCCATCCCAGTGCGCTTGGAGTCCCCCAGCCCAGCCTCCAAGGAGGAATGCCCCAAATCAAGGAACACCACCAGGGGCAAGCATGGTGCGAAGCCCAGCACCAGACTTCGGAAGCGGAGGAAGAAGTGAGGGGCTGCAAACCAGAACATTTGCCATGGACTGCGGCTGCTTGGAAAACACTTTAAAGGTCCCTATGCAGACCAGGCTCTCCATCTCACCTTGCTGTGCCAATAAATTCCTCCTGGGATGAACGGTGCATTGGTCTTTTGCTAGGTTTGGGAAGGCAGCACCTCCCCCATGAACGAGCCCACGCTGCTGCATGGCAGTAACTTGCTTGGGAACAGCATGATCCTACTATTTTTTTTTTCTTTCCTTCCCAGCATGTGTGACCTCCCGGCTTATGGGTCTGGGATGGGTGGGAGGGCAGCAAACCCATATAGGAAAGCTGGAGAAAAGGCTTTAGTGCAAGGATGGGTGAATGAGTTGGCGGGTGGCCAGGCAGAATGGGCACCTCTCCAGCCCAGCCTGCAAGCTCACTGACGGGTTTCAGCCTCAGTAGCATCTCCAAGAGGTGACCCTCCAAGGAGGTGGCCCCAGAGCCACCTGCACCTTCTGCAGAGTCTTTTCTTGCTGCTCTCAGACATCCACAGCGTTGCTCGACCTCCTCTCAGCTCCCTGTGTTTTTCTTGTTTCAGAAGCCACCCCAGCTCCATCCACGGAAAACTCCCACCAGGTGAGACTTGGTTTTGCTTGCGTTGCTCTGGGATTTTTGCCTCATGAGGTTACCTGGCAGGAATCTGGGGCTACCCCCAGCCCTTGCAAGGTTACTTGAGCTCTGGCATTTAGTTACTGCTTTCCAAGTTCTCTTCTGAAAGAGGAGATCAGCCAGGCTAGCTGGGAATAGGGCTGCAGAGCCAGGGCAGATTTTGTCCCTTTCTGGCTAAGGTGCAAACATCTCAGCGTGGGACATGCTGCTGCATGCACTGTAAAGAGCTTTCGTAGACACATTGGCTTGGAGGTAATTTCCTGCTTGCAAGTCATATCCTGCCTGCACCCTGTCCTGCCCTGCCCACATCCAGGGCTGGCGGGGGAGAGATGCTGCAACTGGTTGTGATGGATTTGGGGCCCCCAAACACATTCCCACAAGAAAGGTAGAGCCCCACTCAAGCAGATGTGGCCTTCAATGATGTTGAAGGCAAGCTCTCTTCTGGTTTCCAGTCCCATAGTGCATGAAGGATTTGTCTAGCATCGGACCTGTCTGCCTTTGCCTGGGACAAAACAGCCATCACAGGACCAGGTCCGGGGACCCCCAGGCAGCCATTCTGCAGAGCACGTCCCCAGCCACCACAGCCTGGGATCAGAAGGGCTTAGCCCTGCCTGCAAGCTCTGCAGAGTCTGGGAGCTTCAGGGCTGAAGCAAGAACATAAAGATAATTTATTCCCCCAGCTCAGGAAGGGGAGGTTCCCATCTTCTCCTTTGCAGCTGTTAAGCAAGGCAGAAAGTTTTCCTGACCCTTGTCAGGCAGAGAGGGGACCTTGACCAAGGCAGCTGGAGTGGCCACAGCCCAGGAGAGCCAGGGGCTTCATGCCAGAAATGAGGATGTGGTGCTGGGTGACCCCAGAGCAGCAGAGACCATCTGGGCAAGCAGAGCACTTGCTTTGGGCAGGGACAAACGCATGTGGTCAGGCTTGTTCGGCTATGTTCTGGTGGCAAAGGACATCTCCTTCCCTGACCACTCAGGGCTGCTCTCACTGGGGTCCTCTTTGCACACTTAGGTCCCCACCTCCACCCCTGCAAAGAGGAAGGAAGTCCAAAATGCAAATGTCCTGACATCGCCAGTGAAGGTGATGAAGGTTGAAGACAACGACGATGGATGGAACCAGATGGTGCTGCAGCAGCCAAGCTGCTCGGACCAGCCTGGGACCAGCTGTTCAATGTTCCCCACAGCTCTTGTCAAGGAGGAAAGCCTGCTGAAAGACATGCCAGATGGCAGTGGTGGGCTGCAGGACTCAGGTAAGCAGTGTCCAGAGCAGTGGAGCCGTGGGTAGGCTTTATGGGGTGTAGGCATTGAGGCAGGGCAGTTTGCAGCATCTCCATAGATATCCCAGGAGGATAGTTATGTCCCAATGCATTGTCTTGTTCAAAGACAAGACGTTTGGTGGAGATTGATGGAGAACCAGACTTTGTTCCTTCAGCTGCTTGCATACTCTTAGGCTATGTGATGCTGCATTTTGGTCTTCTCTCCCCTGTAGGATCTTGCCCAGTGTGTACTCTGTATCTGTGGCTTGAGGGGGAACCAGTCCTTTTTCAGGTGGACCCTGAGGGCAGGGTTGCTCCCTGCTTGCTCCCTGCCCACCTTGCTGGCTGTCCAGGGCCACCCCTTGGCACAATTGATGATGCTGATCAGGGAACCATCAGCCCTGGCACTCACCGTAGGGGTGGACAGCCCCACATCCAAAAGGTGACACATCTTTCCTACCTTGGCAGATAGTGATATTCTCTGCTTGGACAGCTTTGAGGACGACAGCACTGATGAGTCAATGGTGAGTGCAGCTAAGGGCTTTAAGTGCTTGGCCCTGCATTGCTCAGTGTTTAAGCCATGAAGACTGGACTGCTTTGTGCTCCCAGACCTTCAGGACCATCCCATAATCCCCCTTAGAACCTGGCAAGGAACTTGTGAAATCCTTCCTGAGTGCCAAAATAAATCCCCTCCAGCTCTCCTCCGCTTCTGGGGGAACAGGGTGCCCAGCAGCTTGGAGACCTTGGTAGATACCATCTTGGTGATGCCAAGGTGGTGAGCAGCCAAAATGAAGGCCAGCAAGAAGAGGCAGTCCAAGACCTCACCTCCTCTTTGATGTTATGGATGGATGGGGTTTTGTTGTTACTTTGCAGCACTGAGCAGTTCCCATGACAGTCTGCGGGACCAAAAGCTGGTGACCAGCTCTTCAGAAGAGGTTTTAGAAATGGGCAGCTTCCCTTCCCTGCCTGCTCTTTGCTGGGTTAGGCCCTTGGCTCACAGCCAGAGGAGAGATGTTGGGTAGTCCCAAGTTTTCTGTCACTTTTGAGCAGAAAGCCAGTTGGGAAAGGATCCAAGCAAGCTGTCTCATGTGGACGTGCAGGGAGTATGCATGTCACACCCTAAGCCCTCTAGCAGGCACTTTGAGTAGATCCCTGAGCTTTGGTAACTTCCAGGACACACGAGTGCCCAGAGCTGCTGCTCTAGTTCTTCCTGTGACATTTATTAAAAGCAAACTGTGTGCTCTTCCAGGACTCTGGTCTGCTAGATGATCCTGGCAACATCCTTGATGAGACCACCAACGAGGACTACCTGGGCCTTCCCATCAGCAGCCAGAACACATCGGACACGAGACAAGGATCCCTGGTCTTCTTTGACGTGACTATTTTGAGTAAGATCCTAAGTGGGGAGGTCCCATGTGGCAGCCAGCTCAGATCCCCACATCTGTCAGTGTCTCTCTTTTTGGGGGGAAAAGTTCAGGCATGTCCACCATGGCCTTGGCTGTGTAAGGGAGAAGACAATATCCTGAGCTCCCAAGAGGCCTTGCCTTTGAGTTTCAGGACACGTGGAGGAACGTGGAGCCCGTAGGGCCATGGGGAGATTTCTCTGAGTTTGCTCAGCCAGTTAACCAGCCCTTGCACTGTTGTGTCAACATGGGCTCCCCTGCTTCTCCTTCCCATGGGCCAGTCTCTCTTGGGTAAGGCTGATTTTACTTTTCAAGCCCCTCTCCTTAGTCCACCCTCAAAGAGGTGTAAAAGCCCTTGTGTTCCTGGTGGGGGGAATGATCCCACTGCAGGAGGTGTTAGTGTTGATAGGCAAGACACTCCTGAAGGACATTAGAGATGCTGGAAGCTGAGGGTGTGACTGAATGGTGGAGATAGGTGAAATGATGGATCAGCCCCCCAGCTGCTATCAATGGTGAAGGCTGTTAGAGGCTGAGCAACTCAATCAATATTTTATTTTCCTACTGAAGAGACTAATTCTGCCTTTCCTCCCTCTCCAATCCTCTTTCCCTTCCCTCTCCTCTTCTCTAGAAAATGAAAGCATTCAGATGACAGTGGTAGATAGAGAGAAAGTATTCCGAGTCCTGATTCAGCCACTGAAATATTTGTCCAGCTTGATGGCCAAAAATAGTGTGTATGAGATCGGTCTGAACAACCTGCTGCGCTACCTCAAGACTGTCCACAAGCCCATCCTGGGTGCCTTTGGTCTCTGGTCACTCCCCTTTCCCACCCTCTTGCAAGCATTGACGGTCATGAACAAGAAAGAAGAGTTCAACTCTGTTGTGTATGGTTTCCTGGACCTTTTGCCCTTGATTAAGGAGAAGATCCCCAAAAGGGATAACTACAAGCTGAAGAACTTGGCCAGCACTTATCTCCGGCAGCACTTCAGTGACTGCAGCACCATGGAGAATGCCAACATCGTGAAATACCTGTGTGGGGTCCTGGATGTCGACCTGGTGAAGAAACCCAGGCTGATCCTCAGTCAAGCCAGCCTGGAGTCCTTCATCTCCCTCCAGCCCTTGCTGGCTGAGAAGCTCCTCACCAAGCCATCAGCCCAAACACTGGCTACCCACAACATCGGCCTCTCTGAGCTCTGGTCCTACTACCAGGACAACCCTGAGAATGGGTTCCAGAAAGTGTGCCGTCTCATCAACGCTCACCGGCACAACTCCGAAAAGAAAGTCCGAAACCTAAGCAAGGTCAAGGTCTACTTCCAGCGCCAGGAGCAGTTGGCTGAAAGCCAGAAGACCCTGGCAGGCAGCAATTTTCCAAGAGCCATAAAGAGTGAGGAAGAGTGTTGAAAGATGCTGGTGCGTCTCCAGGACTCATTCCCCTCTCACCCACGGGGAATGAGTCCTGGGGCCAAATCACATCACTCACATCAGTAGTTTTGCTTTCAATATTTCCTGCCTGCTCTTGCCTGGGGTGATGAGTCTGGGTCTTTGTGGTGTGACAGTCTCCTGCGGTAATCTCTCATCTGAACTTGTGGTAAGGTGAAGAGGGGAGGACACCAACTTGGCTGGGACATGTCCTGGCTCTGATCCGACACCCTGCAGCCATGCTGTGCTTTTGTTTCCCCCCTGGATGGATCAAGCCAACTCTTGGGAGAAATCTTGCGAATCATTTCTGGTCTGGGTTTTTTTGGGGGGGTGAATGGGATCTGAAGCCAGCTGGAGAAACAGCAGGTGGGGAAACTGGTTTGTAAGGACCAAGGATGGTGGCCATTGCTAGGAAGAAGGTTGGGCAGAGCTGCTCTGTTCCTGTGAGTTGCTGTGTGGGATATGGCTGTGGGACATGGCTGTGGGACATGACTGTGGGAAGAACTGAAAATCCTCCTTCGGTCAGCAGGATCCAAGCCCTCTAGTCTATATGAACCTGCTAAGTGGGCACACAGGGGTGTGCTTTTCCTACCTCTCCCACTACTTTCCAAGCTCAAAGACAGCCAGGGGATTGCTTCATCAGGGGATGCAACTCATTGCTCTTTGGCTTCTGTGCCTGCCTAGCGATGCAGAAGAAATAAATCATTTTCCTAATTTGTTATGCATTGCAAATGATTTTGTTTTGTTCCCCATTCCCAGAATACCCACCTACTCAAAAAGGCAGATGTGCATGGTAGTGGGTGCTGCAGTGATGGGTGCTTTGCAGCATGACAACCCCTTGAGCCCATGACACAGCTGAGGTGAGCACAAAGAGCATGGGATGACTCATGTATGTGAGATGTGCAGCTATCCCCAAGATAGGCGTTGGCTTGAAGACAAGCAAGAGAGCATCAAGAGGTCCTGTTTGCTCAGGGAGGTGCCAAGAAAGCCCGTCAGCCTGCTCCCCATGGGAACAACCCAAGTCATTTCCCTTCAGATGGTGCATAGCTGTCCTGCCCACCGGCAGCTATCCAGTTTGGATCATGACAAAACAACCTGATTCAGCCAGGGCTATCACCTGAAACTCATGAACATCTCACCTGGCCCTCACCTGCATGTGTGAGCAAAGCAATGAGCACACCAACATTCACCCAGAGGCAGGGGCAAAGCAAACATCCTTGTGCTGTCCATAAAACCCTATACAGGGACTCCCGTCCAATGCCGTGCTCCTCCCCGATGTCACTTCAATACACAAACTGCTTTTCCTCCTGATTTATAGCCTCTTACCAGGCATGAGCAAGCTTGCAGGGTGATTCAGCTGGGTAAACCTGCCCCAGTCCCCTCCCTCTGGGGACCACGGAGAGGACAACCTGCTGCTGAGTCATCCCAGGAAGGGATGGACTGTCCAGATGCCGTGGGGACCATTTTGCCTCAGATCTAATAATTCTAATAATTATTAGAAATAATTATTATTTCTAATACCTAATAGCTCTAATATTATTTCTGATAAAGATTATTCTATTCATTATTTTACTACGACTCATTTCAACACCAGTCCTGCCCAGGAAGCTGGTGGCTCCAGGGGCCAAATCTGTTCAGGAAACAGTTAAATGGTCATGTGTGTGCAAGCATTTTCCTCCTTTTTGCTAAAATCCCAGGAAACACAAGGAAACACAAGGAGATACAGATGGCAGCACCAGTGCGGTCGCCACTGTGTGGAGTCTGGTCCTTCAGGAGCAGGGACGTTGTTCAGGGCAACCGATGGGGATCTCCTCCACGATCCCCCTTTTTCCTTTTATTCTTCCACCTAATTCAAGTTTAAATTTCCTCTTCTTCCTCCAAAAAATCAACTTTTGCTCAGTAGAGAAGTCAGCCACAAGTCTCTTGCATCCTGGAAAGCCCCAATTGCCCTTGACATGAGCGGCTCCATGAGGATCATCACCATCTTGCAGGAGCTGGGGACAGGGACAAGTTTGGACACCTGAAGAGTGTGTTTGCCTTAGGAAAGTGTCACTTCACATGCCATCCCCCAGCGACTCCGCTGCAGAAAGGGCCCATGATCTGGAGGTGGGACATACAGTCTGAAGGTGGGACACATCTCTGTGGATCTTACAGAGCTGGGTATTACCAAAAAAACAGGGGAAAAAACCTGCAGTTGGCTGCATAGCAAAATCAATGTCTCCTGTGGGCAAGGGACCCAATCCAGCACCTCATTTGCTTATTAGAGCCTACCACAATGGGTTCCCCGGGGAATTGGGTGTTCTCAGCTGTTGCCAATTGCCCTTGCGGGAGGTGTGCCAAGCATCATCTGGGGTGGGAGCAGCTGTGGGAGGTGTGGGCTATAAAAGGTCCTTGGGCAGCAGCTGCTCCATGTGCTGGACCCTGGTAGGCAGGATGGGGCCTGGAAGCAGCATGGGGTTGGCTGTTTTCTGTTGTGTTTTTGGGAAGGCAGTTGCCTACAACCCCTGGGGCTTCCCTAGAGGGGAGGCAGAGCTATGGAAGCATGAAGGGGATTTTTCCTCAGGGCAGCCCTATGCCTTCTCCCAGCCCTCTCCCTGGGCATGGGTGGATGTCTCCCAGCTCCAGGCTGCTGTCCCACTGCACCCTGTGGCTGTGCAGTGCCAGGAGGCACAGGTGGTGGTCACGGTGCACAGGGACCTCTTTGGCATGGGACGCCTGGTCAAGGCTGCAGAGCTGACCCTGGGCTCATCTGCCTGCCTGCCTGTAGTCTGGAGCACTGCTGAGACCATAGTGACCTTCATGGCTGGACTGCATGAGTGTGGCAGCACCCTCAGGGTAAGGCTGTGGGGAGCTGCCTCTTGGCTTGCACCTTGGTGTCTTGGGATACTGAGACTGGCAGGGGGTTGTGGTGTAGGTGGGCTCAGGAAAATGCTCCAAAGCCTTTCCTAGAGGATGAACATCTCAGTCTGCTTTTCGAGGGCAACTGAAACTGTTCTGTCCGGTCCAGGGGCTAGCTCTGGTGTTGTGTAAACAGGGAAGGGCATGCAAAAGGTAGAGAAATTAGGTTTTTCCTGATGAATACAGAAGTATCTTAATCTTCCAGGGCTATTTATGCTGTTGCTGCCACCTCCAGGGTGGAGCCCAGATGACCTGGTGCTGGGACCCACTGCAGCAACCCAGCAGTGGATGCCTATCTCAGGAGGTATCTGAGTGCTGCTTACTGCTGCTTGAGCATAGCATGAAACTACTTCACAGAAAACTTAAATTTGAAGCAGTCTCTCTCCCCTGGGAGAGGCCTGGGGCCATGAGGGTGCCTCTCCATACTCAAGCCAGCAGATATCTTCATTAAATCCCCCTGAGCAGAAGTCATCCTCTGATACGCTGGGGGACAGACCTTCCTGTCTGTTCTTCTGGGGCATGGAAACCAGAAGAAAAAAAAATCAGCTTGAGCACCCCTGCATCCAGCTCTGCTGCTGGCCAGAGGCTGTCCTGGGACAGGGTGGAGCAGCTTCCCAGCCCAGAGCATCCCTGCAGCAGGTTCAGTGCCACTCACCTGCCTTCAGCACAAATGCTACTGGCTGATGACCAGAAGAAATATCTCAGCACTGAGTCTGCAGGCTTAAATGTGCTGCTCTGTGTGTGGCCAAAAGAACAGGGCTCTTAATGGCTGGATAATGTGTCTTGTCTTTCCCCAGGTGACCCCCAATGCTCTAGTCTACAGCACGAGCTTAAATTACAACCCAGTTCCTACTGGCAACTCTGTCATCATCCGCAATGGCCCTGCTGTAGTTCCTGTTGAGTGCCACTACCCAAGGTGAGCCAATGCAGATGAGTACCAAGCAAGCCCTTCTGCTGCCACAGAATTTAATTATGTGCATCCCTCCCCAGGAGGGACAATGTGAGCAGCAGTGCTGTCAAGCCTATGTGGGTGCCCTTTCACTCCACCCTGTCCTCTGAGGAGAAGCTGCCCTTCTCCCTGCGTCTCATGAATGGTAGGTTTTGGGTGAGGGTCTCCTCTGGTGCAGGGCAGGCTGAGGTGGCCATGCTTCCACTAGATGGCACAGCTGGTGTTGGTATTGTTCTAGTGCTCCTGGAGCAGATGGGGTTTGGTACAGTTTTGGTGAGTGCCCAGGGCCTTGTGCCGGTTGGGGTTTCCTTGGGTGGAAGCAGTGAAGTACAAGCTGGTTTCCCATTCATGAGTGCCTGGTGACCTCTCTCCTTCCAGATGACTGGAGTGCTGAGAAAGCCTCCAGCATATTTCAACTGGGAGAGGTCCTCCACTTCCAAGCTGGTGTCAACACAGAGAACCACGCACCTCTGAGGCTCTTTGTGGACAACTGTGTGGCCACCCTGACCCCAGACAGGAGTTCTGCTCCCCAGTATGCTTTCATTGACTTCAGTGGGTAAGAGCTAGTTGTGCCCTTATTTAGAGATGCCTTTCTGTGGGTTATGGATGTCTCTGACTGTGGGATCCTGCTGACTCTCACTTTTGTGCCTAGGTGCATGGTGGATGGGCAACTGGATGATGCCACCTCAACTTTTATATCCCCAAGACCCAGGCAAGATGTGCTTCAGTTTGCAGTAGATGCATTCAGGTTTGCAGGAGACTCCAGCAATCTGGTAAATCCTTCCTAAAGCAAATGAAGTGACTTGTCTAGACAGGGCTATAGCCTCACTCCATTAAGAAAGTTAATGTGGTTTTTGTCTAGAATTACATTCCCAAGACAACTGCCTCATAGCAATGTATGAATGAGGTCACCCTATACTACTGCTTCATGGCCCTCTGGGCCAAGGATCTTCCTTGGAGACCAGTTCTGATATTGGCCAAGACAAGCCCTTCTGATGGGCTTGAATAGCTGAACCCTTAAGTGGCTTGAAGGAAGCAGAGGGGCTTGAGCTACCCTGCAGAGTTGGTGGTCCCATTGGAGAACAGCTTCATGGTGTGTGGGAAAGCCATAAAGGCAAATGACAGCCTAACCCCTCTGCTCTGCCTTGCCTCCCCAGATCTACATCACCTGCCACCTGAAGGTCTCCCTGGCTCACCAAGCTCCTGACCCTCTGAACAAGGCTTGCTCCTTCAACAAAGCCAGCAACCTGTGAGTAGCTGGAACGGCAGCTTGCCCAAAGGTGAAGAGCTTGGGCTTCTCATCTGGTGTGTCACCTTCCAGGAAGGTGGGGTTGGCCATCTGGGTAGGAGGGGTTTGTGAGGGATTCCTACCATAGGGTGGGCTACTCACCAGGCTCTCTTCTAGCTGGGCTCCTGTGGAAGGCACCCAGGATGTCTGCTCTTGCTGTGAGATGAGGAGCTGTGGTTTGGCTGGGCACTCCAGGCGGCTCCATGCTCCCTCCCAAAGGCAAGGAGGCCGTGTCCAGAGAGAACTGCCCTCCCAGCTTGGTAGGTCTCAGTATGCCTCTTGGGCTTTGTCACTATTGTGACAGCTTGCTCTGAGCTGGGTGGCTGGAGCTGCCTTGCTACCTGTTGGCTCCTCAGTGTTAACCCAAGCCTTGGGAGAGCTAGATTTTCAAACAAGCTTGCGAGTGCTCAAAGGTTCTCCCTTTCAGATCCCTTGGTGAAAGAAGCAGATGTTGTGGTTGGACCTCTCTTCATACACGGCTGGCAGAATCACCCAGTTAGGAGGATGCCTTCACAAGGTAGGGGCAAACCCAGGGAAGGGGGGTGGCTTGTGTGGCAGGTCCTGGCCCTGGCTGTAACCACCTCCTTACTTCTGCTTCCTAGATACAGGTCACTTGTGGATGGTATTAGGTCTGGCTGCAGTTGCTGGTGTGGTCATCCTGATACTTGCTGTTCTAGGAGCTCTGAGTGTCTGCCAAAAGCCCAGCATCCCTGTTTAAGTCACTGGTTTCAACTTTTACAGTCTGTTCAATAAAAAATAAATTGAAGGACTGCGAGACACTTGGTGGGGGGAGTGGAGAAGTCTTCTTGGAGACACTGAGCTAACCAAATCTTCATGTTAACTGTAACTGTGCTGCTTTGTACCCAATTTGGGTCTTGCTATCCTGAAGTCCTGTCCTCAGCAGAGCTTTGTACAGTCTTGCACCCCCATGAATGTCTCCCAGAGCACCTAACTGGTAACTGATGCAAAAAATCACTATCCAGATATTGTCATCCTGTTTCTAGAAGCATGGAGTTGTGTTTAGCCTCAAAACATCTTAGCTTTCTGTGGAGCTATGTGGGTCTGCTCCATACTGGTAACTCCTTAATCAATAAGCCAAGGGCAGCTAAGGGTTTAGTAGAACTTAGATCACCATCCTCCTGCCTGAAGCTGTTTCTGGGAGAGAAATAAAGCTTTGTGAGATGAGGAAGGGAGTGCAACTTGAGGGTCGGTAGGCTGGGCTGTTCCTGGGACAGAGGCAGGAATTCCAGTCCCTGCCCCAAGGACTGTTTACACATAGTTAGATGTAACAAGCCTTGGCTGAAATGTATAAACAGTCCTTGGGGCAGGGACTGGAATTTCTGCCCCCACTTTTCCCCCTTCCAGAAAGGAGCTTTCTGACATGCCTGAGTCATACTTGCTTTTTCCTCCTACTGCTGTAGGGCTCTTCTGCTCAGCAGAGCAGCTGTAATGGCAAGATGTTCCTGCCCTAAACCCAAGACCTGTTGCTCCCCGCTAGCTGGGAGAGGTTCCCACTTCAGGCAATGGTGGGAACTGAACATCTTGGGATGCTGAATTTGGGGAAAACTGAGACCTGTGAGGAGCTGGGTCTTGCTTGCAGCATGGCCACCTCTTGAGCTGGTTTTGCAGGGGGCAGGAGGATTTCTGCACTCTCTTAGCCTGCTCTGGGGGAGTATGGGCAGCTCTCTTGGTCATGGAGGACAGAAGAAAGTAGTGTCTTGCACAAGATGGCATGTCTTTAGCTGTCATCCAGCATGCTGGAGACTGTCAGCCAGATGTCCTTTGATAGATGTCACCTTGCACTGGTATCAATTTGGTACAAGGTGCCAAGCTGGACTTGAGACTTTGGGTCACCTGAATCACTGTCCCCTCCCTTCCCTTGCTATCAGCTTGGCTGCTCACAGTTCTAAAAGCAAATTAGTCCTCCCCCAAAACTAAAAGATTAGTTCTGGGTTGGATCAAGGAGTTGCACTGACTTTGGGTTGGGGTTGTCAGTATGGCTTCTTTACTCATCCATATAATCTAACCCTTGCTGGAGGGGCTTGGTCCTTGTCTTGCAGCAAGGTAGGAGCTTTTAGGGGGAATAGCTGGGAGAAGTCTTCACTATCCCTTTACTGCTGCAAGCTGTCAGCTTTTGGGGCAGAGGGCAGAGGAGAACTGCATGGAAATGTGGGTGGAAGGGATCTCAAAAGACCTCCAGTCCAACACCAGATGTATCAGCCATGTGCTGGCCTGGCTGAGGCTGGCAGTGTCTGTGGATGGAGATCTCCCACCTCTGCATGCCCAGCCCAGGGCTGCACAACTGTCCTGGAGAAGAAATATTTCCTCACCCAGCCTGGACCTCCCAGACCATGAGTTGTGGCTGCTGACAGGTGTTAAATCTTCACATAACAGATTCCTTCTTGATCAGCATCTTCTGTAGATGTGCCCCGACCATCCTTTGGCACATGTGCTCTGAGCAGGGACTATCTCCCTGGTTGGCCGAGACACACAGAGGAGCCTTTTAAATGAAAACCCTTCTCTATGCCAATTGGCATAATTGCCCTGCAGCCACCTGAACAAAATACCTCAGCTGGCTCCAGGAAGGAAAACAAATTTCAGCCAAATCTGGTCTACAAAGAAATTGGGGATGGGGAAAGGCTCTCTGGCTTGCCAAAGCAGCCATTGCCCTCCAGCAGCTCGTGCCCCTTCCCAGGCACCATCCCTGGCTCTGGTGAGGCTCAATGACAGCACTGACCTTGCCATAAGTTTTTTGACTTAAAAGTTTATGTTATAAGCAAAAAGGAGATGTACTTTAAAGTCTCCTTTATGCAATGGGGGAAAACCACTGGGTTTTGTGCTTGTCCAGTGCCCTGGGACTTTCTGGTCTCCTCCAAAAAAATGAGCTCATGCTCTTTCCCAACTGTGCTGGTCCATGGCCAATGTTGTGTTGTGCTTGGAATAAAGGTGGGACAGCTGGTCCTGGCAAGGGCTAACCTGGGAGCAGAAATCCCCTTTTTCATAGAGAAATCCTTCCTCTCCTCTGAACTTGGGTGTGTTTCTGCACCCAGGATTCACCTCTGATAATTTGAGCTGTGTAAACACAAGGCCACCCATCAAGGGGATTTATTCTCCTGCTGGGATCAAGCCCTGGTACCCAGAGACCCACAACCTAATGCTGCAGCTGGGCCCTGAGCTACAGCTCTCCAGGATACAATGGGGTGAGAGCAGGCATCTCTCATGGTCCTTGGAGCCAAGGACCTGGGTGAGCAGCAATGCGCTCCCCTGGGAGGGGGGCAGCCACTTATTTACTGATTCAGCATTGCCAGCTGCTGTTATCTCCCTGACGCACAGGGCTCAGCCTGCAGGAATCCCTGGCATTTCTATGCAAGTGCCAATTTCAAGGTATTTTAAACATGAAGGCAAAGTCCTGGACCCTCTGGCAGCAGCAGGGACATGGCATCTGCTGCCCAAGGAAAGGAGCCAGTGGGAAAGGCAGAAGGTTTTACTCTGGTCCATAATTTTTTCTAGGATTTCTGCTAGGAGAGGGCTGGACAATGTCTGCTCCAGAAACTTTCTGTTTCTTTTCATTTTCCCAGAAATGGCTCAGCTGCTCCAGCTCAAACTTCCAAATCAGAGGCTTTCTACTGTCCCTAAGGCTTGCCAGGGACATCCTGAAAGATGGAGAGGGATTTGGAGTATCAAACTGAGCATCCCTTGTACGGAGCCAACGGGATGCTTGCAGAGCCCTGGCAGGGAAAAAGAGTTAAAGATGCTCAAAAGAAGGGACAGAAACTCCAATAATGAGGCTTGGAAACATATAGGGTTTATTTTTAAGCAGCTTTCTCTGTTCACCAGCTGTGAGGAGCTGGGCAATGCCCAGCCCTGCTTGCAGGGGGTGGGATACAAACCAGTGTGCTGTGGCATGGGGAAGGGAGAGATGGGCAGAGCACCTTGCCTCTGGCTGCTTCTACCCGGAGCCCATTTCCTTGAAGGCAACAATACAAACACAAGCCAAAGAGCTGGGGAAGGGCAGAAGAGATAAAAAAGAAAGGTTGTGGCTCTGCAGCTAATGATCTCACTGCCGAGGCCGAAATGGGGGTTGTTCGGCCCCGGCTGAGAATGGCCATGCTTGTGTCAGTGGTGAGGGCGCTCCATCAGCTGCTGCTGGGTCAGTGGTGACTGAACATCCTGGTCCTGGTCCCGGCCCCGCTGAGGAGCAGGGGGATGCTTAAAGTCCCTGTTTGGGCTGGAGCTGTGAGCTCATGGGTTCCCAGCCCCCCCAGCACATCAGCATCCAAGCGGAAAACCAAAGTCCCAGGGGGCTGATGGCGCCAGGCAGGAATGGTCCCTGCGGAGGGGACGGGAAGCACCCGGATTGGGATCATGGACCCTGCTCTCCCCGCTCCTGTCACCTCCCCAGCAGCCTTGAAAAGCCCCTTATCACCTTATAACCTAAACAAGCCACTCCCCCCTCACCCCTTTATCACAAAAAAAAGCCACTTTGTACCAGTCTCCCCGTCTCCGGCTTCTGCTGAGTTTTATAAACAACTTCCCCAAAGAGGCTGACGAGGATGTTTTCTCTCATCTCGGGCATCCCAGGAACGGGGGGTCCTGGCACCCCGGAAATGACTTGTTGTGCCTCCCCTTTCCCTGCACCCACGAGGGCTGGCCTTTGGGTGCCATTGGTCCCCAAACAGGAGCCCAGGGGCGGATTGCTCCTGCTCACAGGGATATATAAAGGCTGGAGCAGCAGCCCCAGCTCTCTGTGCCAGGGTTTGCTGGAAGAAGGAGGAATGGGACCCAAAAGCGGCTTGATCCTCACTCTTCTCTGCTGGACGGCGGGAGAGGTGGCTGCCTACCCACCCTGGGATTTCTCCTGGGGTGACCTGGCAAGCCGTGGGGCACGGGCAGACCCCCACGCCTGGTCCTGGGTGGAGGACCCCCAATCTCGAGCCATCTCCAGCCAGCAGCCAGTGATGGTGCAGTGCCAGGAGGCTCAGCTGGTGGTGACGGTGAACAGGGACCTCTTCGGCACCGTCGGCTGACCTGACGCTAGGGCCAGCGGCATGCAAGCATTCCTCGCTGAACCCTGCCCGCAACACTGTCACCTTCACTGCTGGCCTCCACGAGTGTGGCAGCATCGTGCAGGTAAGACCTTCTCTCCCTTGGTGCTTCCCCCAGTTCCAGGATCCCACCTGGCATCCCAGAGCAGCTTCAGGCTGCAGGACCGTGCACTGGCCATCCCCCATGATGCCGGGGGAGCTCTGGGTGCCAGATGCAGAGTACCAATGAGGAATACCCTTGGGGAAGGACAAGCAGGTAATTCCCCCCAAACCGGAGTGTTTTTCCCCAAAGATGCTTTGCCCTTTCGGCTGGAGACATGCCGATGGTGCAAAGCCCCCATGTCAGACCCATTTCGCTCATGTTTTGGCCCATTAGGAAGTTTAACTTGCTGAGAATGGAGCGGGGCTCCTTCTCCATCCCCTTTTCCCTAGCTTTTTCCCCCTTTCTTTGAATTTCTCCAGCATTTCCTAGTTGGGAGAGGACGGCTATATGGCTTGGTGGTGGTGGGAGGTGGGGTAGCCTCTTCAATGGCTGCTCAATGCTTTTCTGCCCAGATCACGCCAGATTCCCTCATCTACCGCACACTCCTCAACTATGACCCCAGCCCTGCCAGCAACCCTGTCATCATCCGCAGCAACCCCGCCATCATCCCCATCGAGTGCCACTACCCCAGGTAAGGGCTCCCCATCCTTGGCACCCCCCACCCCAGTCCCCGGGGATCATTATGGGGCCATGTCATGATGTGTGGTGGTCCTTGCCCAGGAGGGAGAATGTGAGCAGCAATGCCATCCGGCCCACCTGGGCTCCCTTCAGCTCCACGCTGTCGGCAGAGGAGAGGCTGGTGTTCTCCCTGCGCCTCATGAATGGTAGGTGAGAAAACATCCCAATCTGTGGATGGGGATTTTCCACCCTTTTCCCAGGGCAGGGAAGCTTGGGGACACAGCACCCCATTGGGGAAGCCAACCCACCCCATGGCAAACACCAGCACTCCTGCTTTTGGGCTGACCCTTGGCTCTGGTCCCACGGGAGCTTGGGGACAGCTGGAGCTACTCCCACTTTGTCACTCCGGCACTGCCTTGCAGAGGACTGGAGTGCCGAGAGACCCTTCACTGGTTTCCAACTGGGCGATGTCCTCAACATCCAAGCGGAGGTGGGCACTGAGAGCCACGTGCCGCTGCGGTTGTTTGTGGACAGCTGCGTGGCTGCTCTGAGCCCTGGCACCGACTCCTCACCCCACTATGCCATCATTGACTTCAATGGGTGAGCCATGGGAACCCGCCGGTAGCGGTGCTGGGAGGAGACCTGCCGGGATGCTGACCTCCCCCCGTCCCACCCCAGGTGCCTGGTTGATGGGAGGTCAGATGACACCAGCTCTGCTTTCATCACTCCCCGGCCCCGGGAGGACGTCCTGCGCTTCAGGGTTGATGTGTTCAGGTTCGCGGGGGACACCAGGAACCTGGTAAGGCTGCATGTCCCCCCTGCCAGCCCCAAACCAAGCTGGTGTCCGCCATGGGTGTGTCCCCACCTCTCTCCCCTGCCCTCCCCACAGATCTACATCACCTGCCACCTGAAGGTGACCCCAGCAGACCAAGCCCCAGACCCCCTGAACAAGGCTTGCTCCTTCAACAAAGCCAGGAACACGTAAGTAGCCACCGCACTGGGATGGGGCACATCTGGGCAGGTCCCCACCAGCATCTCACAGTCTCAGTGTGGCACAGGGATGGGTCACAGGCCCAGACTTGGGGTGCATGAATGCTCTGTGGGTGCTGGTGGGGGGGACTCGGATGGTGATGCTCCCACCCTGCTGCAGCTGGGCACCTGTGGAAGGCACCCGAGACATCTGCAGCTGCTGCGAGACAGGTAACTGCGAGTCCCCTGCACTATCCCGGAGGCTCAACCCCCTGGAGCGATGGCCTGGCCGCCGCTTCCGCCGCCATGATGCCAAAGGTAAGGTCCCTGCAGGGACGGAGGGGACACCCTGGGGTTGCAGGGCGAGCACATTGCTCCTTCCTCCCCATGGAAAGAGTCTGAAGCTGACGTGGTCATCGGCCCCGTGCTCCTCTCGAGGGACCCGGGCACTGTGGGAGAGAGGACGGAGGGAGGTCAGGGTGAGTCCCCGCCAGCTGCGGCCCTGTGGCACAGCCCTGGTGACGAGCGCTAACAGACCCCCCTTGCTTTTGCAGGTGGGGTGATGGCAGTGCCCGGAGTGGGGACAGGGCTGATC